GAACTGAAGATGAAAAGATTCGTGAACTGAAGATGAAAAGATTCTCCTCAGATAGGTTGGGGAGAAATGCAAGGACAATTTTAAAGGGCTGACTCTGGCTGATCAAAGTTCAATCAAACCTGGTTAGGACTTGGATGCGAGAAAAATCCTAGGGCTGTAGGGCAGATTAGAAGTTAAGATCTCCCAGAAGGAAGTAGTAGCATATCACTTTTGTACTGCCCCATGGAGAACTACATGGGTGTACCCCGTATCCCTCAAACAGCTGAGTCTGAGCGGGTTGCATCTTTGGCCCATGTCAGCCTTATCAGGTAGACCAGATAGGAAACACAACCAGATAAGCTAATTCTACTTTAGTGTAAAGCTACATTGACAGAATCTTGCAAATCTGAACGTACAATTCTCCCCCTGCCTCCTTTACAGCCTGAGAAACTAGGGAGGATCCCTCCTGAGCCTCTTTCTCCACCCATTATGCAGCTGCAGGCTGTGCTCCCTCTTATCTGACCATTCCCTTGGCAGCATCTCTGGGCCCCGTCTCCCAAGGTCTTTCCCACATACCATTACAGCCCGCTTTGTCCCAGATGCCTTGGACTACAACAACCCTGGCTAACTGGAAGATAAAAAGGGATGGGAGAAAAAGACATTTAAGAATGGTGTCTCTTCTCATGTGAACAAGCAAAAACACTGTTATTTAGACAATCTTTTAGAGGTGTGGAAATCTGGGGTGATTGGCCTGGGAGCTCTCCTCGTCTTGGTGGATTTCCTTGTACTTTGATACTTGCACCATCAAGGTTTGAATGATGGTGTAAATTTGGGGGTTGGGGGCTTATTTATTTATTTTGGGTGACCACCCAAGGATGTTTTTGGCCAAAAGGCAGGATTATAAATTGAGTGATTGATTGTTTTGCAGGCAGGCAGCAGATTTCACAAGAGAGATGGGTCCTGTAATTGATTGCCTTTTAAGAAGTCAACCATCATTACATCTTGGTGTTGGCTGAATGGGGCCACTGCTTTTGGACAAAAATGGGATTATTTCTTTTGGTGCTGCAAGTTAAACGAATGTGGTGCTGGGTTCCGTCAACCCAAGTGGAGAGTTTTGAGGGTTGGGTGAACCTTGTCAGTCAGTAGCTAATGAACAAAGTTTGCAACATAGGATTAAATGATAAATGAGTCATAACTGTCGACGCACGAGGGGTGGTGGTGGAAATATCAACCTGTGTGTGATGTATCCGTAAGCAAGAGAGAGGGAGATTAGCAGTGGTCTGTCTGCATTTTAGCGGGAAGAGTGTCACCGTGCGTGCAAGTAGGAACTCTGTGTCTGGCCAAAATGTAAAGAAGTGCATGTGAATGAGAGGGAAGAGTATTACATCCGTGCAAGAGAAAAAGAATATACTTAACAAATCACCCAAACACACCCAACTTCCCTATTTGCTAAATCCTTTGATTAGGCTGTTTGTATTTTGTAGCTTGGCTCACTTCCTGATCTGCTCTGAACAGGTTTGGAGATGTCTGCTGTGATTTCTACTTTGTGCTTCAGCTGTGTTGTGTCAATGTGCTATAACGACACGAGATCTCTTACTTATGGTCCAACAAAGGTAGCGTGTAAACAAATCAGGGTTTAGGTAAATATTCCTGAGATAATACCTTCACAGCGTGGCGTGCCTGCCACGAACAGCAGAAACACCAAAATGTTAACTGTTATCAACTCACTAGTCAAAGTAAGGCAGGTTGCGAATAACACTTTGCATGAAAAAACACACAGCTAACAGAATATTCCAAGAGAAATTTCAGAAAGGAACTAAGATTCTTACAAAAACCACATACCGTATATCCCAGCGGGTAAGGCCACCTGCGGATAAGCCGACCCTCGAATTTTTAACCAAAATACCATGAAAAATGTGCCACCCGTAGATAAGATGACCCTCAAAATTTTTGTATGTTTTAATTTTCACAATTGTTTTGTCTGAGGGTGGGGTATTTTTCATGGTGTTTTGATTAAAAATTCAAGGGTCGGCTTATCCGTGGATGGGCTTACCTGTGAGCATTTATGGGGTATACGGGTACTTTAAAAGTATTACTGTATATACTCGCGGAGAAGCCCCTTCACGGATAAGCCAAACCCAATTTTTGGCGTGTATTTAGGAACCTAAAATTCTCAGCTTATCCACGATTATATATGGGTATGTCTTAAAGCATCCAAATTGTACATCAGATGACTGTTTTAACTTATATACTGTATAAGCGGTTAGCACATTCTTGATCTGGCCAATTTGTTTGCAGCTCTGGCCTCCAAGCCTTTTCATCTTTCAGCTCCAAACCTTTTCCGATACAGGCTGCCAACATCCAATCTGAAGACCCCAGTATGTTTTTTACGTTCTAAACTTAACATCTGGACAAGCAGGCTCTTGGGAAAGGTCTCTCTTAAGATCAGCGTCCAAATCGATTCACTACAGTTATAAATTCTAAAAAAACCTTCTATTTGGGTCTCCAACTTCTCTGACAGTATCTCCAACTTTACAAAGCAAAGTGAAACCAGTGAAGTGACTATTCAAGTGCTATCAATGCACAATACGTCAGTCTCACTGCCAGGACCTGAAGCAATGCTGTGGGCCTTAATGCTGGATTTCCATGACTTTGGCACCCCAAATAAATGTTAGTTATGAGTCTGTTATTCACTTCCAAGACTTTTCTACATGCAGTGTGATCGGAAAGATAACACCTCTTGAATGGGATGATTTGGCTTGTTCACCACTTGAATGTTTCCAGCTTTCTACAGATTTTATTCCCCAACCTGGCACTTCCAGATGGGAATAAGACTGTCGCTCTGTAAACTGGCAGAAGACTTTCAGAAGCTGCCGTTCCCGTCTTGCCAATTTGAGGAGGTCTGTTTTACTTACCCAACTCTGTGTCCTCCTGCTCTTGCCACACACAACTAAAACAAACCCATCTGCCCTAGCCTGGGAATCTTTTGGAGGGTGGATTTCTGTAATGGTCTATGGCAACAACCTTGGGAGACAGGAGGAAGAGCTGCAGACTGGACAACGGCGTGGAAAAGGTGTCTCAGCCCACAGAAGGAAAAAGGGTGTGGGAAGCATTTCAGAAGGGACCCTCCCTAGTTTTCTGGAGAGTAAAAGGAGAGGAGGGGAGAAATGCTTTCAGTCTTGCAAGATTCTGTTAACGAAACCTTGCAATAAAGATAGAGTGAGTGCTCCTGGTTGGGCTTGTCTGGACTACCTCGCAGGGCTAACAATTTCAAAGCCCAGATCTTCCAGCAGCAGGCACATGTGCTTGGAACTCTGGGGGTTGTCAACACAGCCAGAGAGCATCTGGACTGGCAAAGGGTCGAACTAGGTGGATATACTTGGGATATACCTGAGATCTCTTTTTGGGGAGGGGAGGGACCTGAGATCTCTGAACCTCCCCAATTCCTGCTGGCTGGGATTCCAAACTTAAGGTGCGGAGGAAGAAATACGGCCTTTGTGCACCTTGTTCCCTTTGCAAAGCTTCCCAACGTGAGTTGGTCTGCCCTTTATTATTCCCCTTTCTGTGACGTAAACCCACCTGCTTTTCAAGGCTTTGCCCCCACTGTCCCTGAAGAACAGGCACCTCCACCTGGTCATGGGATGGCTGGCTGAAAGGGTTCAGACCTGATCTGGCAAAAGTTTGGCTCAATCATCCTGGCGCACACCCAATTTTCAGACTGAACAGCTCCCAGGACATGGATTCAACCTGTTACTCTGCATTGTCTGTTTTAGCAAATCCTGAGACAGGCAAAATTAAGATGCACCCACCCCTCTCTTTCCACTGAACGAGCAGGCCTCTACCTCCGAAAGCAATTTCAGGCAGGTAAACCAAGCCTTACTACTGTTTTATGGGAACATATCTGGCTCCTGTATGAACCAGATGAATTTAATATCCCCCAAAATTCATTTTGCCTGGAGGTGGTAGCACCTAGCCAACCTAGGGGGATCTCAAAAAAAGGCTGAGCAGGGTTGGACTTATTTAATACTTGGATGGGAGACCACTGGAAAATCCTAGGAACGCAGGCTAAATTGGGGTGAGGAAATACTTCCCCAAAGAAGGCAAGGGCTTTTCCATCAAGAAAAGTGTAGAGGGATGTTCTTGTAGCCACCAGGGGCTGAGCCTGACTCAAAGGAGACCACATTTTTGTGGAGTCAGTCCTTCCCTCTAGGAAGTCTTTACTAATCACTGCTTATAAACAATATTGGGGTTGAGGAATCTGTATCTCACTCCTCAACCCCATGAGAGGGAGAGGAGGAATAAAAAAAAAGTGTTGACAAAGGTTGTCAGATGATCCAGGTCATTCCTCTTGACTTGACCCTGCCTGGTTAACATTTCCAAGGTTTCAGACCCACAGTTTTCCCTGGACATGCTGCAGATGCAACCGAGGACTTGTGGCATTCAAAGTAAAGGCTCAACCGCTCAACTACAGAAGCATTTCTTCCATCCAAAGACAGACAAACACCCATCTCCTTAACAACAGCTCTGTGTTGCTCAAAAGATGCCCAGAGCCAATATTTTAGACCAATTCTCATCCTTGGCAACTTTAAGGTGTATGGCGTGCTGGCTGGGGAATTCTGGGAGTTGAAGTCCATACACCTTAAAGTTGCCAAGGTTGAGAAACACTGTTTTAGACCCATCTCAGTGTAAAAGCAGAGGAGATAAAACTTCTCTGAGTTATGAGGAGTCAAGTAGCAAGCCTACGGGGAATGGGAAGAAAATATTATTACCTGCGTAGCCGCCAGTAGATTTGATGTACATCTGCCCGTACTGCTCTTCAGTCATGGTGTCATAGGCTTCATCATCCTCCTCATCTTCTTCGTTGTGGTAGGACGTGGGGCTGTCCGTGGTTGGAATACTGCTGGCCCCGGGACTTGTCCGTTCTCCCTGGACATATGGAGCCTGTGGGATGCTGGAGATGAGAGGGGCAAGGCTGGGCACCCCATAGTAGGAGACGCGGGACAGCTTCACTGCCGTAGTGGCCGAGGAACCTCCTGCTGCTGTGTCTCGCAGGCCCCCCTCTAAGGACCTCTTGGCTGGCAGCCCCACCAGCGGCGTCTGCTGCTCCATGTTCTCGTGCTTGACCCGGGTGAGCAGCGGAATGGGCACCGAAGGGGACATGACATAAGGCATGGATGCCGTCTGCAAGGGGTTGCACGGGCTCTGAGGCTCAGAGCTGGCCTCTTCGATCATGGCCGTCTGAGAGTCACAGTGGGGCGAGCTCACTTTGAACATGAGGTCAGTCCCCTTCTCCACAATGTGCTGAATCTGCAGGAAGCCCGCCGTGTACATCACCACCAGCTGCTCGCTGGCCGCCATGGTCAGCTTCCCGGTGTAACAAAAGGAGAGGATTTGCTGGAAGCAAGTGGCCGGGACCGAGCTGGGCAGCTCAAATGCGCTTTTGCTATTCCCACTAAACAAGTCTCGGAAGTACAAACTGCTTGCGGCCAACACCGCTCGGTGGGCCTTGAACGCCTGTCCCTTGACGACGATGGAGACATCGCAGTAAAGCCCCAGGAGCCGTTGCTCATTCAGGGAGCCCAGGACGGTGTTCCCAAAGTTGGGAATCTCAATGTGCAACATCTGTGACATGTCTCGCCCGATCCTTACACATTCAGCGCCACAGCATCCAAAAGAGAGTGCATCTGTGGGGGGGGGAGAGGGAGGGGGGAGAGAAAAATGCAGTGTTCAGAAGGAAAACGGGGCAATGGCAGGCCACGAAACGCAAAAGGCCAACCGAGACATCAAAGCCCCCGAAACGGGGATTCAGAAGTGCAACTCTGGAGGAAAAACATATGTGGTTCCCTTCTTAGAGCAGTTGGGTTTAAACAACAACAAAACACGCTTCTGAAAGAAGACGAGCCACGCTTGCACGATAATGGGAAGAAAAACTCCACCTTAGAGGCAAAATGTTCTGCGTGTGCAGCGTGCCACACGCCGGAATCCGGGGGGGAACCGCTTGCAGTGCTCAGGGGAGGTGTGAGGAAAAGAGAGACCCGTTTTACCCCAATAACCCAATAGGGAAACCCAAGCTGAGAAAAAGAGAGAGAAACCAGTGGACCTCCCCAGCCTCAGGCCGCGTTATTCCACCCTTAGAAAGGCAGCTTTGGGGAAATGATTGCAGGAAAGTGGGAGGCCACCGAACCACGCAGCACCCTTGGGACATGCAAAAAAGCGCACTTAAAAGCAAGAACAACTCCACAAGGACAGCAACAGGGCTTGAGACTCCTCACAGGTGAACGCCGGCTTGGCTTGAAAGAGCTGGGAAGGTATCTGGAGAGCGCCTCCATCCTGCCCGCATCAGTTCTTATTATGTCATTGGTGGAATGAGGGACGGCTCTAATGCGGCCCCAGTGAGTTTCTGAACTTTTCTTCCCAACGGAGCCCAAGGCAGAAATTGGACAACGGATCCACCTTCCAAATCGGAAGAGGGAAGGAGGAAGAAGCGCACTTCCGTGTAGTCCCTCTGAAAATCTGCTGGGGCTCTGGACTTTGCATCAAAAATTGCAGCAGAGATATTTTTAGGAACATTCAGAAACTGGCTGTGACAAGGGACGCCCTTCCCAGGCGTGCCCCAAAAGAACCAGGAGAAGGAAGCGGACGTGTTCGGCTCCTCAGAACGAAATTCAGCGTATTTGACTTTGGGAAAGAGTGACTCCCCCCGCTTCCCCCTCCAGAAATCCCCCGTGCCTCGAATGGGGCTGGACACTTCTCCTGGCGCGCACGGTGCTGCCACGCAACCTCCGCCTGCCCTCTGCCCTTCGCCATCCAAACACAAAGTCCAGCCACCTACAGAGTCCCATCACATTTCCAACTCTGGGTGGCTCCTCCGTAAGAGGCACTTCCCAAGGGTCGCCTGGAATTACCAGCCTGGTTCCCTACCAGGGAGCGCCCAGGAAGGACGAAAGGAGCTGCTGAATAGACGGCTGGGCTCCTGGGAGCCCGCCTGGCACATGCTTCCATTCTGGGCAGCCATCTCTCAGCTGCTGCGCGGCGCTAGCCGACATGCAGCGTGCACCGAACTTCTGCTCTGCCCAGATCCCGCAACTGCTGCCTCCTTTCCTGCGGACGTACCTTAACCGGGATGAAATCCGGAGCTTGGCTCTTTGTGGAAAGGTCCCCTAAGCAGAGGGAAAGAGGAAGGGGCAGAGGAGAGAAAAGAAACCACCGAGCATCCCCGACTCGGTCCCCTCCTTTGCCTGGGCGATGAGGAGCTCCTGGTTGTTCAGCTAAGTCGGATTTCTCCAGCAGCGGCAGCAGCAGCGGCAGCAGCAGCAAGATCCAGGGCAAGGACCCCGAGGAGTGGAGGCTGGAAGGGCACTGAGCGTCCAGGCGATTCTCTGCAATGAATAGCACCCTTTGATGAGGCACCCAATAGAGATGCCAATGGCAAACCGGAGCTTGAGAAAAAGCGGGGGGAGAGGAGAGAGAAAGAGAAAGGAAGAAAGGGGGGGGGGATCAGTGCCAGAGAAATGCTGTAAGTGTTGGTTCAAGACAGACTTTTGATGAGTCACCGCAACGCAAACAAAGATGGCAGATATACTGCACTCTGCTGATGAAGTGCTTAGCGGTGCCCCAGCAACTGAGACGGTGCTTGCTTTCTTTCCGCTTTCTCTCCCCGCTTCCACTTTTTTTTCCTTGGGGGGGGATTTATGGTGTGGTTTTGCATATGAATTGCGCTGCCGTAAGGCCTCCTCTGCCACCCTCTAGGACATTCAGAGTGTCAGAGCACTTCAAGGGTTTCAAGCAATCTGCAGTGCTGATGCAGCTTTCGGTTAACCCCCTCCTGGATGGAGCGAAACTGGGCGGCCGAGGACAGCTCCGGAGGGAGGAATTAGGGCAAGGAGCGCCCCTTCCCGCCCACCTCTCCAGAGGCGCTGTGCCTTCCCTGGAGGAAAGCAGCCCGTCCAGATTCCCCAACCCCAGCCAAACCTTTCTCCCAGATAAAGCTCAGATGCAATCCGAGGAGAGGAGCTGCATCTGACCCCTGAGTCACCCGGCCTTGGGCAGGGAGCGCCTGGCCATCTTAGCAGACGTTTTCTCCCGGAGGTGCCTGAATGCTGCGGGCAAACCCAGCCGTGGCTCGAGACAATTCGGATTTAGATTTGGGTGGGAGACCACCAGGAACCTCGGGGCTGTAAAAACGCCCACCTCCATCGGTTGCAAAGAAAATGGTCCATGCCCGGCTGTGAAATGGTCAGCCTCGTGGGGTAAACCAGAGAGGAATCACAACCAGATGAGCTAATTCTGTTGTTGTTGTTGTTTAGTCGTTAAGTCGTGTCCGACTCTTCGTGACCCCATGAACCATACTGCGCCAGGCCTTCCTGTCCTGAGCTAATTCTACTTTGTTGTAAAGCTGCATTGACTGAAACTTGCAAGTCTGAAAGTACATCTCTCTCCCCCCTTGTCTCCTTTACAATCCGAGAAATTAGGGAGGGTCCCTTCTGAGCCTCTTGCCCTGCCCGTTATCTAGCTGTGGGCTATGCTTTCTCTTATCTGACCATTTCCTTGGTTGCATCTCTTAGCCCAGTCTCCCAAGGTCTTTCCCAAAACATTACAGAAATCGCCAAGTCGAGTTGACTCAAAGGAGATTTTACTTTAAAGTTGGTTGGGAGCAGAGACCTCTTTGACTTCTATTACTTGGTTCTGAATTCGGGAGTCTGTTCTTGAGGACTGATCTCCATGCTACGGAATAAGGGCGGCTTCCTCCAGCATGGATGGGTCAAAGCCAGATTTGGGCTCCTGGTTCAATCTTGGAATGACATATAGTAGATCAGCAAAGACAAAACAGGAACAGGGGCTGTTCTTGCTTCACCACTTTTCTGAAATGCATGGCCCTGTGGTTTGCAGTGGTCTGCCACCCAAATCTAAATCAAAACTGTCGCAAGCTGTGGCTGGGTTCCCCCGCAGAATTGAGGCACCTCCGGGAGAAAACTTAAATCTCTTTGTGTGGTAGAGAGGGTGTGTGGTACAGAAGGAAGGTCTCTTCAATTCTGGCATGCAAACCAAATTCTTTGGGGGCTTAGTTGTGTTGTGTGAACACTCTACCCTATTTGTGAAATGCTGAGGGGGGGGAGGGTTCAATCACCGTCACCCAAGTAACTTCAAATGAAGGAGAGAAGGCAGCTAGTCAAAACAGAAAACAGCTCTTTGTCAGAAGGCATGGAAATTGGCGGAAGGTACAGTCACGGACGTTGGCAATGCCCAACCACGTTGGTGGGTGTGCTAGGGGCCTGCCAGCCCTACAGGAGTCTCTATTTTCCCATTCAAAGAGTGTCGGGATTTGTTTCTGCTAAGATCAAAGAGGGCCATTTGAGACTAGTGGTGAAGGTGCTGGGCTAGAAGCTGGGAGGTCCCGAGTTCTAGTCCGCCCTTAGGCATGGAAGCTGGATGAAAGAGTTCACAATGATTGGATGGCACATAATCAATCAATCAATCAATCAATCAATCAATCAATCAATCAATCAATCTCTCTCCAACCCACCTCACTCACAGGGTTGTTGTGGTGGGGAAAATAGGAGGAAGGAGCATTAAGTATGTATGCTGCCTTGAGCTGACCAAAAATAAAGGTGGGATGAAAACCTAATCAATCAGTTCATCAATCTCTGCAATTTTGCACAAAGCCCAATAGGATGACCAGCTTATTAGCAATGGGAGGGAAGTGACTTTGTCACTCTTCCCTCTTTCCATCTCTGACCGGGTGTTTCTCAAACTGCAGGCCAGGGCCCCAGGGGCAGGATGTGTGTGTGTGTGGGGGGGCGTCACTTAAAAAAAACCCCTGATTAAGCTGGTGCAGGCAGAGGAGAAGACCTGTCAACATTTGCTCTTTTGTTTTGCCCGCCCCCCCCTTTTCTGTGCAAACTCAACACAGGGACTTACAACACTCGGAGAACTCTGGGATACAGAGTTTGAAATGTAATTATTACTGTTCTTAATTACTTGCAGAACCACCCAGCCCTAATCCCATTGAAATTATTAACTGTATTCCTGGGGAGAGATTGTCAGTTGAGGAGGTTCTGGTACCCACACGGTTGGAGAATCCTGCTCTAACCAATTATCTGCTCTGCTCATATCAATGCTAACCCAGTTTTAGAGTTTAGGGTATTGTGTGAGCCTAGCTTAATAAAGGGTGGCAAAGTTTCTCTTGGGTCATGTGGTGTAGAGAGTAAGGAAGGTGATCTTGACAGAAATATCCAAGAACCGTTACCTAGGTAGAGGGGGCTACACGTTTTTAAGTCCAGAGAAACACACATTCAGAAGCGGCTCAGGGAGACATCTCCCTCATTCACATGGACAGATACCTCCTTCAGCACCTATACATTACTGACCCCTTACAGTGAAGTGTAAGAAGGGGAAGGAGGTCCAGCACAATCAGACTTGCATGCTCCTGTTATTGTAGCCCATCTCAATAAAAGTAGCCTTAGCCTTCCTGTGGAGTTGACTTCCTGGTCTGGCCTACCTGGTGGGGCTGAGAACTTCCCATCCCATTTCTGTGATCTCCTGCCTGCTCCAGATGTTCATGGCCCTGGCTACAGGCTTAAAACCCACCTGGACTAGCCAAAGATGGGCTCAGCCACCGAGAAAAGAAACAAACCGCCCCAATGTAGGGTCCGATCTAGAACCCAAGAGTCCAATCATCTAATCTAGAACCCGAGAGCCCACAGGCAGGGCATCTAGAACTTCTGGACCAAGGATGGGAGATCTCCAAGGCACTTTATTATAGCCTTGGAGATGCATCCAAAGGGTTGGAGTCCAAGTCACACCTCGCTTGATGCCTAAGCCCACAACTTCTTTGCATTTCTCATCAGCTTCTTTTGCAGAGCACTTTGTCGAACTACCATCTGTTTTCCATTCCTTTGGCTGGCAACCATGAAGTTCGAAAACAGCAAAAAACCGCCCAGAGTCGCTCTGCAGTGTGATGGGTGGTGACAAATTTGAAATATTAATTAGTTAATTAATTAAGAAAAAGCAACAGCCACACTGATCCCTGAGAGCTCTGGGGCCTGACAAAAGTTGCTAAGAAATTATTATCATCTTTGTTGTACCCAGAGGAAAAAGCTACCAAAGAAGTAATCATATTAACTTGATTTCAAGAGATGCTAGCTCCATTTAAATTTGAATTAAATGTCGTTGTTGCTCTGGCCTACCCTAGTTTTCGGAAGGCAGCGCCTGGCACATCTACAACCCAGTGTGCCCAGTGGCTCCGGAACTGTCACACTCCCACCTCCTAAGACTGAGATTTTACATAAGTGTGTTAAACCTTTTGCCTCAAGAACTTCTATTTGGAGGTTAATCTCTGCAGCCCAACTTCTCATCCAATTTCTGGTTGTCCCTTAGAAGGATTTCCACATAGCTGGGTCTATTGGGAGGGAGAGGAAAAAAGGTATCCCATAATAAGCACCGCGGCATTGGCCTAAGGACTAAATTCAGACAGCAGGTCCTGGCTCCAGCCAGAAAGATGCTGGCAAAGAGTAGACTGGTCAACTGAAAAGGAAAACCCAACACCCTCCATTCAGAGCTCTACTAAAAGTTGCTCTCCAGATATCCAGGAAGGATTCAAAAATCTGACTATTCAGGATTGCAATCCCAACTGAGGATGAGTGCAAACTTCAGATGGCTGCATCTTTTTTTTTTTATTTTGGTGGGGCGGGGGGGAAGCCCCTTCCTAGCAAGTTATTGATGCATACTGGCTAGGGCTGAATCATCTCCTTTCTTTTTAAAAGATTCTATCCTGCGTTTTCATTGCTTTTATTACAATGTTTTCTGACCAAGTTTGCTTTCTTTTTCTTAAAATGGCCTGAGACTTATTTCAGGGCACAGTCACCCATTTTCACGCACTCAAAGTTTTGGGAGTCGTGGGGCTGAATTTCTGCTGTGTGTTCCAAAGTCCGGAACAGCCTTTCTTCTTCCAGACGGAACTACAACTCCCAAGATGCTGCTGGTGGGACATTCTGAGAGTGGCAGACCCAGCACACCTGGAGTCCACCTGGTTAGGGAAGGGAACCACCTGGAACCCCAGAGGGGCTTCTTAACACGAGAAGCAAAAGGCCCTTCCTCGCTTTGCACATTTCTGCAGCGGCTGCACCCCACCTTTGCTGTTAATTTTGGTCTGTGCTTTCCATGCCCGCCAGGTGGCATCTGTGTACCAACGCCATCTTTCCAAAACACAGTCCTTTCTCTGTTCAGCCGAGAAACGCTGCCACTCAACCTGGCCAACTGCAGAGAGGTGCCCCTTGGCAGAATGCAAACTCCAGAGCAGGCAGTTAGCCTCGCTCAGGGCGAAAGGACTCTGCCGACCGAAGGGGACGCTCCTTCCGTAACTGTATTTTGTTGGGTGCCAAAACTTCGGGCATCCTC